GAAGCAGGCAGATTTGTCCAAAATGCTAAAAGTGCAGTTTTCACTGATTTATTTATTCAATGTATTTGGCCACCCACTTTCAAAGTGACTTTGCATGGCTAACTGGGTTAAACTGTCACAGTACAAATGCAACAATAAACAATAAAACACACAATTTCAGCAATGCAGTATGACATTCATATACAGTGGGGCAAAAAAGTATTTAGTCAGCCACCAATTGTGCAAGTTCTCCCACTTAAAAAATTTGCAAATAAATTCTTTAAAAATCAGACAATGTGATTTTCTGGATTTTTTCCCCCATTTTGTCTCTCATAGTTGAGGTATACCTATGATGAAAATTACAGGCCTCTCTCATATTTGCAAATAAATTCTTTAAAAATCAGACAATGTGATTTTCTGGATTTTTTCCCCCATTTTGTCTCTCATAGTTGAGGTATACCTATGATGAAAATTACAGGCCTCTCTCATATTTGCAAATAAATTCTTTAAAAATCAGACAATGTGATTTTCTGGATTTTTTCCCCCATTTTGTCTCTCATAGTTGAGGTATACCTATGATGAAAATTACAGGCCTCTCTCATATTTGCAAATAAATTCTTTAAAAATCAGACAATGTGATTTTCTGGATTTTTTCCCCCATTTTGTCTCTCATAGTTGAGGTATACCTATGATGAAAATTACAGGCCTCTCTCATATTTGCAAATAAATTCTTTAAAAATCAGACAATGTGATTTTCTGGATTTTTTCCCCCATTTTGTCTCTCATAGTTGAGGTATACCTATGATGAAAATTACAGGCCTCTCTCATATTTGCAAATAAATTCTTTAAAAATCAGACAATGTGATTTTCTGGATTTTTTCCCCCATTTTGTCTCTCATAGTTGAGGTATACCTATGATGAAAATTACAGGCCTCTCTCATATTTGCAAATAAATTCTTTAAAAATCAGACAATGTGATTTTCTGGATTTTTTCCCCCATTTTGTCTCTCATAGTTGAGGTATACCTATGATGAAAATTACAGGCCTCTCTCATCTTTTTAAGTGGGAGAACTTGCACAATTGGTGGCTGACTAAATACTTTTTTGCCCCACTGTATTTATTGCAGACTCAAACTCAGAAGGAGATTCTAACCTCAAATTGGTATGCTAAAGGATACCAATGGACAGATAGTAATTGATTCAAAGGAGATCAAACTAAGATGGAAGGGGTATACTGAAACATTGTGCAGTAGAGATGTCAACATGCAAGATACAGTAGAAGATACTCCCTACTTAAAAGAACGTCTAGTACTAGAAGATGAAATTAGATCAGCACTCTGGTCATTACCAAGTCGGGAAGGTTATAGGAACTGATGGAATACCCACTGAAATATGGCAAGAAACAGAAGAAGAAGTAATAAAGATTCTAATCAACCTATGCCAGCAAACCTGGAGAATGACATAGTAGCCAACCAATTGGAAGAGGCCAATCTATATTCCAATACCAAAAAAAGGAGTCTTAACAGTGTGCAAACTATTGTACAATATCCTTAATTATACATGCTAGCAAAATAATTCAACACAGATTAGAGCCCTACATGGAAAAAGAGATGCCAGATGTTCAAACTGGCTTTCAAAAAGGCTGAGGAAAACAAGATATTATTGCTGATGCATGTAATTGAGAAAGCCAAAGAATACCAGAAAAGAAGTCAGTATGTGCTTCATTGATTATAGAAAGGCCTTTGATTGTATTGACCATATCAAGCTATGGAAAGTGGTCAGAAAAATGGGAATCCCAGAACATCTCGTCCTCATGAGAAATGTATGTACAGGTCAGGAAACCACGGTACAGATAGAACATGGTAAAACAGACTAGCTCCAGATGAGCAAAGGAGTGTGACAAGGCTGTATATTCTCCCCTTATTTATTCAATCTGTATGGTAAATTTATAGTAAGGGAAGCGGGATTGGAAGAAGGTGAGCTAGTTTTAAAATCTGAGGAAGAAACATCAGTAACCTGTATTATGTTGATGAGAGTACTCTGCTAACCCAAAATGCAAAGGATCTGCATGGTCTAGTAATAAAAGTTAAGGAGCAAAGTGAAAAAATGGCACTAAAATTAAATATAAAAAACAACAGGTAGAACAACCAGCTTTAGAATTCGCAATGAAAATTTCAAAGTGGTGGATAGCTTCTGCTTTTTAGGCTCAACCATCAGCTGTAAAGGAATCAACAGTCAAGAAATATGCCACAGACTAACACTTGGTAGAGCAGCCATGAAGGCATTGGAAAAGATATTCAAATGTTGTGATGTCTCTATACCTACAAAGTTCAGAATCGTGCAAGCCATGGTATTCCCCGTGATACTCTATGGAAGTGAAAGATGGACTTTCAAAAAGCAGGATAGGAAGTCTATTGGTGTTTTTGAACTTTGGTGTTGAAGAAGACTCCTGAGAATATTGTGGACATCCAAGAAAATGAATAAATGGATCATCAGACAAATCAGTTGAGAGTTCTCACTTGAGATGCAAATGACCAGGTTCAAATTATCCTGGACACATTATGAGAAGACCTAGCTCTCTGTAGAAGGCTCTAATGCTGGGAAAGGTGGAAGGAAAGAGAAGAAGAGCAGCAGCAAGGTGGATGGACTGTTACAGTGGCAGTGGGTGAAAGACCAGGTTACGGATAGATTGTCACGGAGAAAATCTATCTCTGTAGTTGCTAGGAGTTGAAAACGCCTTGATGGCACATAATCAATAATCATAAGTCATTGTGGCTCAGTGCCTGGGGAAAGAACCAGGTCTTCAAGGACTTCTTAAAGGCTGGCAGGGTTGGGACCAAGCTGAATCTTAGGGAGAGATGCTATTCCATATTATATTATAGGGCCTAAAGGAACATCTTCTTTACCTGGTGTAATTACAGTATCTGCTGATCATTACAAGAAAGAAGAAAATGACATTTAATTGCAGCCCATTTTATATACAAAGGAAAACAACCCTGTTCGTTTCTTAGATTTTCATTATATTGTGCAGAGCTGATCAACGAATAATCTTTCTTAATTTTGTGCATTGTTTCTAATGATATATGAAATTCTGGTGCATTAAGAGAGGAATAAAGTAGAATGTCATAGTGCTCATGGAAAAAAAAATACTAGAGTGATAATTACTGCATAATTTTCTATTGCTAATATGCCAAGATTATACTATTAAGATAAGAGATTGAATATAAAACCCAAAGCCTCGTAGCTTTTCAGAGACCAGGAAATCTGAACATTTAGCTATTTTTGAAATTAAGTGATTCGTTTCTGCTTTATTCTTAATCATTCTAACTCAATCTAAAATTGTGATTCCAAATATTTAATACATTTTAAGTTAGTACACTTGTGTATATAACAAAGCTGCTGTTTCTAAAATATTTATTATTATAATGACAATGCAACTAAAGTTTGTAACAAAACAGTGCTGGTTATATTATTTGGATAACTAATATTGACTTCTTTATTTTTAATAATTATTTGCTTCTGTTTTAATCCATAGCTAGGATATATCTTGTTCAGATAAATTTGTAGCATGTACATATTGGTATTGGTTTCTAAACAACCAATAGCTTCTTGCAAGGCTCAGCTGTTTGCAGAAGTAAATTGTGCAAATTACAAACCTAGTAGACATGTCCTCAGACTGATTTGACTTATTCCATAAAGGCCTGTTCAGATAAGTCTGAAATAGATGCAGCTGAATGATTTCCTATTATGTGAATGATAAGACTTATTAAATGATATTGTGTTGAGTAGATTTGGTAAAAATCAGGAGGATCCATAATACTTTTTTCTATTCTTTGTACATAATTACTATGCAAAGTAAACATCTGGTATTTTATTTTGCATAAGCTATACATGTTGCAGAATTCCATTTCTCTTTTTGGTTTGGGAACTAATTTATTTTCCCAGATAAGTAACTGTTGCATCCCTTTTCTACTTTACACCTGCTTTTTTATGTAGCAAACATAATAGCACATCGTCAAGATAGCTAGAATAATGTACTTTCCATTTATATTGCATTTAAAAATGGCACAGCCATGAAGCCACTGATAGGAAGAATAAGAAGGTCCAGTTTTTGTTCTAGAAAAAGAAAGTAAGATCTCATACATTTGTAATAATGTCATCTGAAAGGGGGCCCTTACCTGATAATTTGGAAATCTATCTACCTACTGAATGGTAAGAGACATGCTTACCACTGATTAGTATATTTATGGTCTCTTTCAGTTGTTTTTCTTTCATACAGGCAGAAAATCAAGCCTTCACAATAGTCTGATTTGGAATTTAGAATGAGCCACAGTTCTTTAGCATCTGGCTTACCAGGACCAAGCAAAGGTATCATTAAGGGCTGCCCAATTGCTCCCTTTTGGCTTCCCTTTCCAGAGGGATCAGTTAAACAAATCAAAAAGCCTTTGTAACTTACTTTAGCATTATGCACAAACTGGATCCTTGGCTTACCCGCCCTTACAAGCCAGAATCATAAGGCAGAGTTAGTTCCTGATCAGTCTATTTAAATTAAACAAAAAACACCAGCTGAACAGGATATGTGCTGATGGAAGTATCAGGAAGCAAAAAATAATAATAATAATAATAAAAAAAATTTTTGAGAGCAAACCCCATTCCGTTCTAGCACTGAAGATGTTACCTAGCCAGGTAATGAAACGTTTGCAAGAAAACAATCAAGTGGAGAGAAACCCCCAAGGACTCCACAGTTCAACCCTGAGCTACACGTATTTGCTTCTATTGGTTAAAAAAAAAATTGTTATAAGTGTATGTGTAGCACTTTTAGCATGCACACTAGGTGTGACTGTTTTCAAGTAAGACAAAAAATATCCTGTATGTTATATTTAAAGTGAAATTGTTTGTGACAAGTGCAGTTTGGATGATTTTGTGACAGAGTGAAAATGCTGAATTTGGAAACATGTTTCATTATTTTGAGCCCTGAAGCTCTGGAAAGTGACAAAAATGACATTTCTTGTTTTTGCACAGGTGATAAATCCAATGGGATGGGATGCATTTGGATTACCAGCAGAGAATGCAGCAGTTGAGCATGGATTTCATCCTGCAGAGTGGACCCAAAGGTTTTGTTTTTCCAGCTCCTTGACTAATATGGCAGTACAGAAATCGTCATAGTGGGAGGAAAGCCGTGTTTGTGTAGGGTAGCCAAAAAACAGAAGAAATCTTGTAGTGCCTTTTTTGACTAGTGAATTTTAGTAAAAGTCATACGTTTTCATGAGTGACTGCTCACTTCATCAGATGCCTAGAGTTGCTTGACTGATGTAGGATTTTAATTGGGATGAGGCGGATGTGGAGGCAGGGAAGGGGAGACAACGTGGTTGTACCAGATGCAGATTACTTGTGAGACAGATTACAAGTAACTTATCGATTAAGTATTGTAATTTTGACATATGTGAGTTCAGCAATTTCTCACTCAGTTGTGCTGTTAAAGTCTCTCCTTTCTAAAACGGTCAGTTTGAGATCTGCAATAGAATGTCCTGGGTGTTTGAAATGCTCTGATATTAGTTTGTCCTTGTTTTGAGTCCTGATATCAAACTTGTGCCAATTAATTCTTTTCCACAAAGCTTGCCCTATGTAGAATCCAGAAGGACATTGATGGCAGATTATATTATATAGGGGAAGAGCATGTGAAGGTGCCTCTAAACTTGTATGTATTTGTTGGGCCCTGTGCTATTGGTGTAGATGTGGGGACAAAATAGACATTTAGTTTTGTTGCAGGGTCTAGTTCCTGTGTTAGCATCATTGTCATGTTTCTTGTTGCTTGTGATAATCTTATTCAGATTGGGTGGTAGTCTGTATGCTGGTATGGGCCTGCCACCCAGTTCCTGAGAAGGTGCAATATAATTGTCCATTATGGGCTGTAGCTAATTAATAATGAGTTTGAGTGGTTTGAACTGATTTTTAATAAATCCTCCTGGGAACTGATCTGGCTCTGTTGATTTGTCTACTGATCTCGTTGGGTAAATAATTTGATCTCATTGGGTGGGTGGTTCACCATTCCAGAGATTAAAATTTGCATCTACCTGTCTTCCCCTCTTTCCCCTCACCTCATCCCAATTTAAATCATCAGTTTAGTTACTCCATGCATCTGATGAAAGGAGTTGTAGCTCATGAACGCTTATGCCTTTTAATAAAATGTGCTAGTCAGAAAAGGTGCTGCAGTAATGAAGTGGGAATTTGTCATACACTGATTGCTGTACTTAATCCTTCCTATATTCATTTACCCCTCTTTCTACAGAGAAAGTCACAAGTTTTAATCACATGTTGAAGAATATATCTTTCATTAGAGTTTGTCTATAAATTTGTTTGGCTCAAAAACCTGGGATTATGCATACATTCCCCTGTTTTGCTATCTGTTGTCTCTTAAATTGAATGGGGAAGGTCACAGTTTAGGAAGTAACAGTCTTGCAAAAATATTGCAGCAAAATGAATGATGGTTAGAGCAATTGTGCAGATTGGAGGAACTCTTCCTGTTCTAACCATAATGTTTCACATTGGAGAATTGTTAAGTTGATAAAATTTCACTGAGATTTTGTTTTGTCTTACAGTAATATTCAACACATGCGAGAGCAGCTTGATGTAATAGGCTTGTCTTTTAGCTGGGATCGGGTAAGTTTTTTTAAATATTTCAGATTTAAAATGTAATTGGTACATTTTAGAATGTAAATTGCCTATGAAGTATCTAAAGAATGTGCAGTTTCATATTGTTAAAATATGTGAAGCTACTCCTTTCCTCATGATTGTTTTTATATTAATTTTACTGTGTGACTCCTCACCCCTAGGAGCTGACAGTATTGAATTTGATAGGAAAAAACACAGAGAAAAGAGAAGGAGAGAGAAATGAGGGGAAACAGACAAATAAATGGATTTCAGTTACATGCACGTAGGCTTAGATGCAAGGGGATAGGCTGGAGAAAATAATATTTATTTCATAAGCACATAAATATTAAGTATTTTATAAATCATAAGATTAACAATGATAAAATCCTCTACTCAGGAATAAGATATAAATAAACAGGGACATGACAAAAAGAAGGTAATAAAATTGCCAGGGAAATTACTTCTGTACTCAATCCTGTTACTGTTTTTTGCTTTGCTTTGAATTAGAAAGCTGTTTAACTTTTGTTTGTGGCCAAAGTAATGCTTTGATCCTTGTGCTTGGTATCACGGCTAGAGGTATGCCAAATATTCTGAAGACAAAATACTCAGACCCTAAGACATCCCATTCTGTTCTCACTGGAAATGTTACAATGTTGGAACAGGGTGGGGCAACTTTAGGAAGTAGTTTGACCTTGAAACATGCCATTTTGACTGAAACAAGTTGGAATGAGTCATGTTAGGATCAAAGCACTTCCAGTAAGGGCCATTTCAAGATCAGGATAGGCCATTTTGGGGGATGGAATGCTTTGACCACAAAACATTTTGTGCAGTTTTAATCAAAACTTTTACAGAATCTTGAAAAGATGTCTCGGTGCTTGCCTGTCAAGTTCTATGTGTGGATTTTAATAATTTAACCCCTATCTACAAAATATTAAAAATGCTCCTTTTCTTCAAATGGTAGAAGATATATACTATTCTGCAAAATGAATGAGCTTATGTCTTTGCTGAACTGTGACTGTGGAGACCCCTCCCAGTCTAAGAAAGATTCCTCACTTGTTTTAATGGAGGAAATGCCAGACCTCCATGAATCCCACAAAGTACATAGGAGTTCTGCATCAGATAATTGTCTTCTGGATGAGTAACTTGTACTATGTTGATTTGATAGAATTGTTCTTTTTATGTTTACAGGAAATAATTACTTGCTCTCCTGAGTACTACAAGTGGACACAGTATCTTTTTATTAAACTTTATGAAGCTGGTTTAGTCTATCAGAATGAAGTAAGCTTTAATATTACTTTCAAATTCATACTTTAGGTTACCTTTCAAACCTTGAGTAATTACTGTTTGTGAAACAAGTATGAAACTCAAAAGATAAGAGCTGCATTCTATAGATCCTTGAAGGAAAGGAGCACACTGCCCATCATACAGCTAGTGAAAGATGATTACTTTTACTTAAGCATTTCTCCCTCTACATTTTGGTGTTTTTGTCTCCATTATGACAAGTGATGCAAATAAATAAAACACTACAGTTAATAACACATCAGTAAAAACAACAGAACCATAACATTAGAGAATCATAGGTGCCAGATTTTTAAAAAATACTTGCTAGCATCAGAACAAATAAATTTGTGTGCCAGGCAATTTTCCTTGAAGAGAATGCTCTAAACGGGGCACCATAGTCAAGAAGGTTTTCTGTCCCACTGAGGATGTCTCATCTCAGAAAGAAGATGAACGCATTAAAGATGCTGCAGTGGGAGGAGAGTTTCCAAAAATATAAGCTAGATTCACACAGTGCACTCAAACAGGGTTTGTTTTAACTATGGTTTATTGGATGAGCTACAGTGGTCTAATTCAGAAAAATAAAATAATGGCTTAGACATAACCATGGTTTATAACCACAGCTGGATTCACATGGCTTAGCACTATATTTTGCAGGTGGATACTGATATAAATGATTTTTCAGGCATTGAGGTTCCAATCTAGGTAGAGCATTTGATGTAAACATCAACTCCTTGCATTGAGCTTGGAAATGGTTTGGCAACAGTGAATTTATTTAAAAACAAGTGGAAGCTGTTTAAACTGGCCAGGTCCACTTACCACTCTAATTGCTGTATTTTGAACTAGCGGTGTGTCTGAAATGTCTTCCAGGACAGCTCCCTAATGCTATTTTGTTCTTATTGAATCCTGAGAGTAAAGGGAAGCTCCCCTAAATGCTGCTACCATACAAGTAGAATAACTTTTAAGGGATTGCATGAGACACCTTTTCCTGTAAAAGTCTTTCTGATATTTAAAGTAATTACTTTGTAGCCCTACAGAACAATGCCAGTAAATTGCACTGATTTCAGTCAAGGTTATTCACAGGCTCATGGTCTGCAACTCTAATATTCCAAAGAAAGAATTACTTTCTAGAATCAATCTTCTTCTGCTGCAATTGTCATTTGGACATTTTCTTGTTATATAAAAAGGGTATCAAATTCACGCAATCAAATTTATCAGATGCCTCCGGAAAGAATCCCATATTATTTACGTATGCTTTTCTTTTTTAAAAAAATGCAATTACAGTAAAAGAGTCAATAGACTTAGGCTTACTACAGCGAGCCCAGCAAGCTCTTAAGCAGCAGTGAGTGAAGATACCAAAGGAAAAAAAATTGCTTTGTGAAGGCTTTTTTTTAAGTATAATATATATTTTTTACTTTTAATTTCTCTCAAAGAGAGAATAAGCAAAATGTGATTTTAGCACAGGAGAGAGAAAAAATAGCTTGAGTAGCTCTAAAAAGGGATAATTGGGTGTTGCTCTGATTGGAAAAAAAGCTTTTGAAAAATGGTATGTGCTTCAGGGCCCGCAAAGTGTAAATATTTGTGCCAGTCTCCTGTTTGAAAAATTGCCTAGTTATGGGCTTGCTCATGCTAGTATTCCTTCTCTCTGATTCTGGACATCGCTTAGGCAACGGTGAATTGGGACCCAGTGGATCAGACTGTCCTTGCTAATGAACAAGTTGATGAAAATGGCTGTTCATGGCGTTCAGGAGCAAAGGTGGAAAAAAAATACCTCAAACAGTGGTTCATTAAGACAACTGCTTATGCAAAGGTGTGAGTATAAATGGTTTTGGAAAGGGTATTAGTGCTTGAAAAATCTAAACCACAAACACACCTATAGAATTATTATATTTTTTTGGGCCCTGCTCCTTTGGTGCCTTTATAACCACTTACAAAAATAGATGCAGTTGTATTAATATAATGTTCCTAGAGCAGCTTACTTCTCTAAAGAATGTCTTGCTATGAACAAATGTGTTAAAATGACAGGTCACGCTAACCTAACTTTTAATAAAATTTGCCCTTTTTAGCCAGTTTCTTTACATTCAGTCACAAACAGAGCACCTTTTTGTGTATGACAAAGATGAACTGAATGTCTTAAAGCCTGATTTAGCTACACTAAGAGAAAATGCCTTTGCCCAGTGTTTGGGATTCTGCCTTTCCTACATACCAGTATTTAAATACTGTAATGCGCTCTACATGGGGCTGCCCTTGAAAAGTATTTGGAAGCTTCAGTTGGTTCAGTATGTGGCAGCCTGCCTAGTTTTGTGCAAGTCTAGATTTGCACATGTGTCACCTCTTGTGGGAGCTGCATTGGCTGCCAATTTGCTTCCAGGTCCAATTCAAGATGTTGGTTATCACCTTTAAAGCCCTACATGGCTTGGGGGCAGGTTATTTGAAGGACCACCTTTTCCCATACCCACCAGATCGGGGAGTCAGGGTATGTTACAGGCCCCCCCCAATTAAGGAGGTCCACCTAATGGGACCGAGAAGAAGGGCCTTCTTTGTGGTGGCTCCCTCCCTGTGGAACATCATCCCCACAGAGATAAGATTGGCCCCCACCTTGATGCTCTTCCACAAGGCCCTGAAGACATGGTTTTGCCAGTGGGCCTGGGCATCCTAGGTCAATATGGAGCCTATCAAATGGCTAGTGTAAATGTGTTGTCGCCGGGGGGGCGCGTTGTAATGAGTTTTGTATCTGGGATTTTTATTCTTGTAAGCTGTCCGGAGTCACTGTGACTATTTAAATTGCTTAAATAAATACATAAATGGAGTAACCCCCTCCCCCAATCCTATTTGTGTTAATTGCTGAAGAGCTACTGTTGGATATGATATTGGAACTGTCTTTGAGAACTAGGCAATATTTGCTATTAATTCTTTTTCCTTTGTGGCAAACTGGAAGGATTTACTCACTTGTAAAATTCAAACTGAGTTTTTTTTTAAAAAAAATCTGTGTGGATTAAACATTTGTACTGAAAGAATATGTCCCTTATTGACAGACAGATTTAATTTCTTTTGTGTGTCTTTGGTACTTTCTACAGTGGATTCAGTAATCATGATATAGGACAAGTTTAATCCACAAAACAGCCATGGGCTAAATATGTGTGCCTCCCCCACCCCAAGAATTTATGTGGAATAATAAGCATAAGACTAAGAGATTGAAATATAGATGAAAGTCTAGATGAAGTTCAGGCATGTGCTTCCTAGTAGTGATGAAATGTTTATGTCTTGTTCATCTCTAAATGGAGATACCAATTATTGGACCCCCCCACCAAGATAAACCCTTTAATTTGGCTTCAGTTACTTTTATAAAATCTAAAGCAGCTTCTAAAACTATTTTCAGTTTTGTTAGTGTAAAAACTGTCTAGTTTCTCTGTATGTTGTTTTTCACCTATCAAGAAACTTATGCTCCTTGCCTAACATTAGAAACAGTTGAGACAAGAGCTGGAATGTATGTTCTCAAAAAATCCAGGGGATTCCATTATTTCTCTTCTTTTCTTAATAGAAATTTAAACCAGTCTCAACACCTGCTATTTTTCATGACTTATTAACTCACTGTACATGTTACTCACACATTCCAAAGAGACTTTAGCTAAATGCAGACTTCAGGTTTGAACAATAACTTCATTTTTCTCCATTACCGCCTCCCTTTAAACGTTTTGTTATTCAACATTTTACTTAATGAAGAACTCTTGCTATTTTGTGAACTTAACTGTCTTATTAAATTTATTGCCTAATGTGAATTCTGAAATGATCTTATATGCTGAAACCCCTCTTCTGTCAAGGACCTTTCCTTTGAACTGGGATTCAGAGCTTCCATCTGGTAAATCAGATGGGAGATTATATTACAGATGTTAAGAAAGAATTTGCTTACTTATCAGTGTCTTAAGTTCATTAACTTCTTGTAAATAAATGCATGTTCAATGATGTTCTTTCTAATACTCATGGCTTATTAGTAGTTTTCCATAGGATGGAAGAATTACTTTTAATGATTCACATGTTGGGCTTCAAAATTCTATGAATAATGTGTCAAAAATACTGTTTTTACCCTAGACTAGTGAACACTAGGAAAATCAAACTTTTTCATCTTGCTGTTAACCAAGAGGTGATGGATATTTTAGTTATTCATCAACCAACATTTTTGTTGTCCAGTAGAAGACAATTTCACTATTTAAATTGTTTTTGAAGGGGGGATGAGAGAGAGTGGGAAAAAATAGAATTTAAGATGTTCTGGATAATAATCCTTTCTCTTCGCAACAACTCAGATCAGTTTTCAATCTAGGTCATCACTTTGCTTGAAACACCCAGCTCTATAATTCCCTTGTCTCACTGTCTCTTAGCAACTGGCACTGTTGACTGCCACTTCCAAACCATGTCAAGATTTCTTCTTATACTGCTAGAATTATACCTTATAACAGATAGTTTTCTTTAAATGTTTGTTGGAGTAGGGGAAGAATTAAAGGAAGGTGTTTCTGTTTTTCCTACTCTTGCCACTTTTTATACGCAAAAAGATATTTGGACTAGTGTTTAATGGTTGTTATAATTCTCCTTCTATTATTAATATCAAAATGCCTGATAGAACTGAAAACTGGTTAAAATTGTCTCCATGTCTCTAGATGAAAGTGCACAGGTTTGTACAATATGCTTCCTTTATGAAATTAGTGTTGTTTCCTTTTACATTTATGTAGAATCATTGTACTCAAATAGAACAATGACACTTTTCATTGAACATATCCCACATTGGATACCCCACACTCAAGTTCCTGCCTCAAAGTAGTTATTCTGGATTCTTTCTTTACTTTGTAAAACAGGACCACCTCATTCTTCTCTTACTAAATTCAAGCTTGATGTTTGGATTTTTTACTTGCATCTTGTTAACTGTCTAAACCAAATTACCTTGCTTTCTAGTGAGATAAATTGCAACCTTGCTATCCACCTTGACGTTCAGTTTGTTTGTTTTTAATCTAGAATTTAAGCTGCTTTTGCATCTAAAAAAGGAGTTCACTCTGAAGTCTTTTGGATTTATTTTGCCTGCTCGTATAATTTTCATATAATTGGGTGCAGATATAACAAACCAGTCCAACAAATGATGGTTAATTGGGCCAGGAACAAGTCATGTGCCCATATATGTCCTCCTTGTTTCTCTTTTTCCTTCTTTCTGTTGTTCACTGGTATTCATTAAGGTTCTCTTTCTCTTTTAAAGCCCCAGTTTCTTGTGACATCCAAACCAGAAAACTGTGGTTTAAAGACTACCTCCAAATCCAATCCTTATTACGGTCGTAGACCAGCATAAGGAGGGTGGGGTACAATCAATTATTTATCTGGCCGGGGAGATACCATGATCATGCCTCCAACCTTTGTCATTGTTAATAGGGACCCCTTAATTCACATTGTCTATGAGTTTTAAAAACCAAACGAAACTATTGAAAAGTTTGGCCAAACATGGGTGTGAGAATGGAGGAAGGACAGAAAGCAGGAAGGAGAAAGCAGACACACAGTTTGTATGAGTCAATAAACCATGATTAGGGATAAATATTGTTAAATCTGAGCCTGTTCTGTTTGGTGGACATTACATTGTCTCATTTTTTTACACTAACTAGTTGAACTTTTCTCTACTGTAAAAGTAAAATCAGGTGAAATTTGACTGAATCCTTGAAATGGAGACATGTCTTTTTTAACTCCTGGATTTATATAGAGCAGCTGCCTGTTTAGCTGTTTGGAATTCAGAGCAAGGGTTAAAATGGCAAGAAACTTGTTTGCAAGGACTCAGCTGTGCCTGCTATTGATTGCTTCTTTTGTCTCATCTACTTAGCTGCTTCTAGCATGACAGCCAACTCCACTAAGAAGCAGATTTTGTCCCTAGGAGGCACGTTTTGTTCCAATGATGTTTCTTCACCTACCCACCCCCGTTTTTCTAAAGTTATTCATAGTTCCCAATGGTGCATATTATGGCACGCACAGCTACAGCTACAACAGCTTTCCAGATATGCCAGGTTTATAATGCTAGGCGGTATTCTAGTGTTGTTTCACCAGTATGTATGTAAATATTCTACATTCCATAGTGGCTGAGAAGCTTTGAGGCAATATGTAAAAACAGTCTTCATTGATAGATTTACCTGGGCCTACTTCCAATTTTGTATGAGTTGTGTCCCATTGCACATGCCTACTCCTATTTTTTTCCCCACCAATTATCTCCTCTTGGATCTACCTGTAATACCAATGTAAGAACACCATGGACCGCTGCATTGTATTGGTGCAATGATTGTTTTAAATAGATTAAATAAGGCAGGCACCCCATTAACTAGTTAGTAGATTTTTGAATGTATCAATCTTCATCTAGTATTTCTGCAGAATGAATATTGTCCTATTTGGGTTTGGCATCATAGCCACCAGTCATAAAATCTTTAGCAGAGCAATGTATAGAAAAAAATAGGTAAATCTGCATGTTGCAAAGTAATTGTTTGCATCCCATTAATATATTGAAGTAGCATTTTAAAGTATTGTGTGTGCTTTAAATAAATGTCATCCTCAGTTTCAAAATTGTCAGCTTAAATGTTCTGACCTTAAAACTCATCTTTTTCATGCACATTTCTGGTATTTATTATAGTTCTTTCTGTCTACTCTCTGATGATGCTGATTGTTCTGACATCCATTGTTCTCACTTTTGAATTCAAATAATAACTTGCTATTTTCTTTGCTTTCTTTACATTATATAAGTGTTGCTGGATAGGTTCTTAATTTATGCTGAATTATATCTTAACCTTTAAATACATCCTTATTTCTTTTGATTCATTTCTTCATATTGAATCTTGGCTTGTGTTATTGGAATTCTGTTTAATAATTTTGTGTGGGTTTATTAGGCTTATGTAAAGTAAAATTCCTGCATTTCCCCTTATACACACACAGAGAGACGCAAAATACCAGATTGCATGCCTATTTCTTTAAAGTGCTCAATCTACCTTTAAGAAAGCTGAGAAGCTGTACCTCAGTTGACAACTTGGTGTTTTTATTATTAACTGATAAATTGTCACTGAATTTCCTAAGATGTTTTAGACCGGTAGAGTGTGCCATTTGGATTGTTTTGGACCACTGTGGCCACAGCTACTGTTCCTACAACTTAATAACTTGAACTGTTTCAAGATGGAGTTACATCAATCCCTACTGAATGCTTTTCTTCACTTTTGTTCTGGGCTTCTCTGACATGAGAGGGGGGTTCAGCTGTTCCAGCTTTAACTTGACAGTAGATAAAATTCAGACTCTCCAAGAGGGAAACATAAAACAAAATATGGCACCCTATTTTAATGGAGTACTTATAATAATCCTAACATACCATATATATTGTTATGCTTGACCTCTGGCAAACTCATCCACGAAGGACATGGTAATAGGAACCAATACTATAGTGTATGATTATGGTATGAGATAGGGAAAGAAAATGTTTAAAATTTAAATCAGATTTGTAGTTTTGAATTTGTTTGTCAAGGCCCTGGCAGCTGCTTATCACTAAGAAAGCTAGATTCTCACAAAATTTTATTAAAAATCTATTGAAAGGAGAAAAGGGATTAGGTTATAGTAATCTTGACAACTGGATATATTAGGATCCTATTTATAATTAGAATAGGGATTCCTTGATCTTGCTCACTATCCGTTGATGCATTGGGGAGGTGGCCACCTTTTTCCTGATAATGTGCAAATGTTCTGAACTCATAATATATTGGAAACTGTTGTACTCTTTTCCAAGCTTTGAGAAATCTTTTACGCTGTTAAAATTAATGCTAAATCCTAGCAGTCTTTTATACACCATGGAAGCTATTAAAATGCAAGGGAGAGTACTATCTCTGTACCGTTTATAGGGCTGATTGCAGATGCCAGCTGGCTCTGTATTTTTCATGAGGTGCACTTTTAGATATGTAGAGGCCATGCACAATTTCTTCTGTGCATATGTTTAATGTCAAAGGTTTAAAATTTCCTCTTACCGTTATTGCAGGCCCTGCTTGATGGCTTGTCAGATCTCCCCAAATGGTATGGAATAAAGGAAATGCAAGCTAATTGGCTTGGGGATTGCACTGGATGCTATTTTGAGTTTATGTTAAAAGTAAGTCCTTCCTTGGCAATCACTGAAAAGTGCTGTAGTATTTCTCACAATATATTGCAAATGGTTGAAAGCTGTTAGTATATATCTGTGAAATATGGGTGGAGTCTTTTATATAGAGTTTTTTGGAACTGGACTGCATGAAGAATAATTGAAATCCCCACATTAACAGAAAGTAAATGGATACTGGTGGTGGTGGTGGCTGCAGTTGCAATTACTAAGAGCAAAGGTGGCCTTTCAGTATGTGACCCACATTCCCTGCCTAACTTTTTTTTTTAAGGGGCCACACTGCTTTTATTTTTTAATGGCCATGTGTGGCCCCTTAAAAAAAAATGTTAGGCAGGGAATACACAGGTGAAGCCTTTTGAGATAAGAAAGAACATTATGTGAAAGCCCCAGAAAAAAGCTTTCAAGCCATGTGAGTAATTTCATTCATAGGACACTCTTCTTTTCTCTGTTGAATTTGTAAGAAGTGAACACAAGCCAAGTTTCACAAGGTAACTAGCTTCAAGCCATTTATGATTATAGCGAATGATCACAAACTATAATTAGCTACCCTGGTCAGGCCCAGAGACACAATCAAACCATAGTCAATCTAAAACCAAAGTTTAGCAATATGTTCAAATCAAACCAGGGTATGATATTTTCAGATGCAAAATATGGTCCTTAGAACACAACTGGTGTGTCTTCAATATTTCAGATATGCCTGCAAAGGAATGATGTTTTGAATAAATTATGGTAACCCTGTCTTGTTTGACAGATTAATAACAAGCCAACAGGAGAACGAATAGTAGCATATGCCTTGGCACCTGAAGCTATATATGGTTCATCCCATTTGTATATCTTACCTAACCATAGATTGTTATGTGGAAATAGCCATCTGAAAGAAATCTTCCAGAAGGAGTTCGTTCAAGGAAAAGGTGATTTTTTTTCTCCCTATTTACTGTCTACTGTAGTAGTCTTGATTTGGTCATGCAGAAATGGCCAATTCACATATATGATATTTCAACATGAGAAGGCATCCCTGTCAAAAGACAGGTACAAATATATAGCTTGAATTATAACGATGTCAGTCAAGATTATCACAAAATATCCCCAGAGCAGTCTGAGTGAACAAAGTGACATAGGTATTTTGCAGGCAAGAAAGCAGACATAGCAGTAGCCTGGTGTCCTTTGTGAAAAGAAGTTCCTGAATGTGTGTGTCTTGTAGTATTGTTGGCAACACAGTGCTCTGGGATGCCAGATGGCTCACGAGAACCCATAAGAGGCCTTCAGCTCCCCATCAAAATTAAAAATTGAAAACTACTGCGATCTTGTCTTTTGCAAGATGTCAGAAATCTTTTTAAAGCAGTGTAATCTCTGCAAGATTTCATGTAAAAATGCCCCCAACTCAGAAGTTGAATGATCTTTTAAGGGTCTGGAAAATTTTAAAAATGGCACCTGCATCATCATATGAGGTTGCATTACAGAGGTTAGGCCTGGAAATGATCGCTGATCTCTGCCTTGTTGGTTAGATAAAATCTGGTTTGATTTTTATCTGAAAAGCCATTGAACAATCAAACTAGAGTATCTCCTATCAGCCAAAATAATATTGTCTTGTTTCTTTAGTCAGTCAGTGGACTAAACATTAATCCATTTTATGAAAAGAAACCACATTTTTCCATCTAATGTAACTCTCCAAAATTGTGGTCAGTGGATAGGGTTCCTTTTTATTAAAAGCTGGAAATTGTGTTTGATTCTGAGAATTGTTTAGAAGGAGGAATGTGATTAAGTACTATAAAAAGAATTCCAGTTAGGCCAGATATTGAACAAACAATGTCATTTTATTAAGTGGTTTCACATCATAAAACTGCAGCATTCATACAGCTCTGTTGTGGTGGCTGATTTTTACCTTCATAGATTTTATTCAGTCATTGATCTAAAGTTTATAAATATAGCATCAAGACTTCCTTTTTCACCTTTCCAAAACAAACAAACAAACAAAAATCAGGCTCAAAAGTTTAAGTTCTTAGTAAGCTTTAGAAACATGAGACATTATGCCTAAACAATCTCAAGTGTCGTTTGGAGTTGATTTGAAGTAGACCTTTGTAATAAAGAAGTAGGTATGGTGAATCTACTTTCCTGGCAAAATAATGAAAGAGTAAAGCAGAGGACTTTGAAATGTGCGTGCTAAAGTAAGAAATGTGATGGACACTCAATTGTTTGTTTTTTGATGCAGACATAATGCTTTTTTAAAAATGCCCAATACATCCTTCATCTTTCTTTCACTTTAGAATGGTGTATTTTCAGGGATCAGCAACATTTGCCTCAACCAGTATACCAGGGCCAGTATACTTCCCCTGAACTGTGTTCACAGAACCCTTCTCCAATTAATTAGTTTTTAACAATAACTAAACATTTAAAAAATGGATGAAATCTCATGAAAACACCTAGTTTGTTAGATGTCAGTGTTTTCACATGAGATTTTATGCAAGATCAGAGAAATCTTGAGAGATTTCAAGTGATTTTAAAAAATTGGCACTGGTCACCAAGGTCATATGCCAGTGCCAGTAAAACATGACACTCCTTTGTTTACATACTTATTATGTGAGGGTCTATTTCTGCATTCGTTTTGCAGTGTTAGGAACAGTTATCTGTAGGTCTGCATTTTAAAACATGCATTCTTTCTAGATGAGAGGAATAAGTAATGTATGCAGTTGATTCCTCATCTACTTTTTCCCCTGTTTGCTTCTGCTCCTATTAGTTAGAATATAAGATTTTATTGTATTAGTCAAGAGGAAAAGGGAGGAGTGGTCCCTTTTAAAAGAACAGATACTTTTTGGTAAGCAAAACAGCTAAAACATATAAACAAATACATATATGTAAACAATTAAAAGGAACAATCTTTTAAAAGTTATGTAGGGGAACAAAAATCTCTCAGTGTAATAATAAAAATATACTTTAGGGAGACCTCTTTTAGCCTGTTAATTTCCATTGTGATTTGTACATGTTATTCAGAAAGCCTTGGAGAATAATAATTCAGGAAAAAAAAAATAACTGAAGAGGAAGAAAAGTGGGAGGGAATGATTTCACAGTGAAAAGAGCTTTGGTATTCATTAAAAGCTAATTAAGTTGAAAATTGCTGATCTCACTTTAAACAAGTAACATTTGATCTTCAAGGATTGCTTCATGCATACTTAATAGCAAAACATAACAATAGACATTCCTTTTAATTTTTATTTCATGTGTATACAAATAACAAAACTTTAAACTTAAAAAATTGAAAGACAACCCCGAACTAAAAATACAAACAAGAAGGAAAAGAAAGGAGAAGAACAAAACCCCACCTTATATTTTGCATTTATCAATAGTCACTGGCTTACTAATGAATATGTTACTATAATATGAACAGTACATACATTATTTAAAATATCACAAAACCTCTTCCATAGTAACATATATAGCTTCATCCTTTGATTAGTAGAGAATGCTGTTTTTTCCAAAACAGATCACTTTTTTCTGACAATTATTCCTTGGTATCTGGAATAATATCACATTTCCAATTTCTCAATATGATTATTTTGGCCACCCCCTCCCATAATAATTCCTGATAAACAGTCAAATTCCAAAGCTTTGGTATAGTTATGCCCTTTCCTGTTACGCCCCTCAGTTACGCCCTTTCCTGGATTGGGATGCCCTTCGAACAGTCACTCATGCCCTTGTTATCTCCCAGATAGACTACTGCAATGCACTCTATGTGCGGTAACCCTTGAAGAGTATACGGAAACTATAGCTGGTCCAGAATGCAGCTGCGCGGGCTATTTTTGTAGCCCCAAGAAGGGCCCATGTAACATCGTTGCTCCACGAGCTGCATTGGGAACCAGTTTGCTTCCAGCTCCAATTCAAGGTGTTGGTTATTACCTTTAAAGCCCTACATGGCATGGGGCCAAGTTACCTAAGGGACTGCCTCTCCCCTATGTCTTCAACCCGTCCCACACGATCGCACAGAGAGGGCATGCTTCGGACCCTCTCAGTAAAAGAACTCCTTCTAGTGGGGTCCAGAAGGCAGGCCTTCTCTGTGGTAGCCCCCGCTGGAACATTCTGCCCCCTGAGGTGCGATTGGCCCCCTCACTCCTGGCCTTCTGAAGGGCCTTGAAGACCTGGTTCTGCCACTTGGCTGGGGCAGGGAGGGAATACTTCAGGCAGGAGGATGG